AAAAAAAAAAAAAAGCACTCATTCTCTTCCCCTGTCTCTTGTAGCTAACAAAGTGAGAAAGAGCCTGTGGCGTAATGGACTAATGCTTCTGCTTAACATGCAGACAGCCCAGGTTCGAATCTCGGAAGAGTATGTCTGACTGATGATAACCAAATAAGGTTAGAAATAGCTATCTCAGTACTCCCTTAATTCATATATATATATATATATATATATAGATAGATAGATAGATAGATAGATAGATAGATAGATAGATAGATACATGTTCAGTTGAACACACAGTTATGCTTATCCTAGGGCATGTATATACACATCACTTTCTGTATCCTACTGTGTCTCAAATCTTTTTTTTCCCATGAGGTTGGCATCAGTTGCAATAAGACCAATGCCTAGTTTCACATCTTCACACATCCAGCCAAAACATGCTTTGCTCCCACTGATCTGACATCCTTGGATTTCATTATTTCAACTCTGCACATTCAGATACAAATGTACATTAGTATTGTTGGGGCAGCAGATTAAGGACTGATACTTAGATCTGGTATCTTTTTCCAACAATATATTGCTGGCCTACTCCTGTTCATTATCCTCCTCAGATTTGTTAAACACCTATGTCAAATTACACTCCCTAAATATAGGAGGACATTCTCCTTGACTCAGTTTGACGCCCTTCCAACTGACGTCTTAGAAGGAAGATACAGAGATTTGGGCTAAGGTTTTACCTTTGTAGTAAAGAACAAAGGCCATGGAAACTGTTAAATACATGTTGTTATATTGCATATTTTATACTGTCATGATCTTTTGTTTTTACATGTAATCCATTTTTTACTAATGAGTTTTATTTTGCACTCATCTTTGACTACAATAAAGAACTAGAGTTGATGTCATGTTCTACTCTAAAAAATAGCTAACTTGTTCAGGGAATAACCTGATCTAATCTATTCCGTACGTAGACACATTTTAGAATGGGAAGAATAGAGTTATGCAATTCTCTTGTCATATAGCAGAAATGTATTGTATATTTCCTTTCACTGTACTGTTCAGTTCTCATTCCATTTTACCAAAATCTAGTACTATATCAAATTGTAAACTCTGGTTATAAGTAAACAATTACTTAACTTAAAACAAGGATGTCAAACTCAATTTCATTGAGAACCACATCAGCATTATGTTTGCCCTCAAAGGGCCAGATGGGCATGGCTGGGTTGCTGCAACTAGTTAGGTGTGGTCGGGTAGGCGTGGCTGGCTCAACGCCACTCGGTCGGCATGGCCAGGTAGGTGCAGCCAGCCCAGCTCCGCTGACTTGGGATAGTTGGGTTGGCACGGAACAAGTTGTACCAGCTAACTCGATGTGGGGACAACTCGGTGCCCAACAAGCTCCTTGACTCCCCAAACTGCTGGCAGCCAAGCCTGTGCGCATGCATGCACACACACACACACACACACTGCATTTCAGGTTTGGGGACTTTTATCCACAGAGGAAGGAGAGATCCTTTTCCCCAAGTGCAGGCATGATTGGCAGCTTGCCAGCTCAGATATGGATAAAAGTCTCCAAACTTGGAATGGTATGTACATGCGCACAGCACACCAAAGGAGACATTCTTCTCCCAATCCCAGACATCTGAGCATTGGCGTTTCCCTGTCTGGTGCCCCCCTCCCAGCAAAGCAGGAGGCGGAGGGCAACATTGCTACATGTGGAAGCGTGGAGTCAAACTTCTGTCTTGACAGATTTCTGGAGAACAAGAAGAGGTCCTGCATGAGGGAGGCTGGCCCTTCTCGAATGGGAATCTTTTTGAGAAGTATGCTGGCATGTTGGGGCAGCCTTCCTTCATGTAGTTCCTTGACGCCCCTCCTCTCCAGAGATCTTTGTAATTCAACCGAGAACTTTGGCGTGCTGCGGAGTTTGGGGAGGCGAGGACCTTGTGGGGCACCAATTTGTCCCCACGTCAAGTTAGCCGGTACAACTGGTTCCATACCGACCCAGCCATCCCAAGTCAGTGGGTCTGGGCTGGCTGCACCTACCTGGCCACGCCTATCCAGCCGTGTCCACCTGGCCGCTGTGAGTCATCATAGACTCATGCCTACCTGCCCCTGTGGTTACCGCTTCCGCACAGCTCCACGCATTGGGGAGGCTGCCTCTGCCCATCCTCTGCTAACTCTACTTCCACTGACAAGACACCCGAAGAAGCAAGGAGGTAACTATTCAATTACCTCCTACTACTACCATGTTTCCCTGAAAGTAAGACCTACCCCAAAAATAAGCCCTAAAAATCAAGCTAGGGCGGGGATGGAGCTTACCTTTGCAGCCAGGCCTCCCATGGATCGACACTTGCCTCGCCGGCCCAATTCTTTTGCGGCTGAAAGAGCAGTTTCATTCTGCAGCTGAGAATGGAGCTTGGGCCTGCATTTCACAATCAGAGACCTTTCCGGAAGGCCTGTGCAGCCGAGAACCAAGCTATAGATTCAATCCATATCTCGTTTCTTGGCTACACAGGCCTTCCGGAAAAGCCTCTGACAGCAAAATGCAGGCCCAAGCTCCATTCTCAGCTGCAGAATGAAGCTGCTCCTTCAGCCGCAGAAGAAGTAGGCCAGTTGGGCAGGGCTGTCATTGCTGCCACCATGAGGTGAATGGAAAAGACCCCCCCCCCAAAAAAAAAGACCTGGTACCTCTTTTGGAGACAAAAAAAAAAAAAGACCGGGTCTTATTATTAGGGCAACATGGTAGTTTGCTTGTGGGCCAGATCTAAACGCATCATGGGCCAGATCTAGTCCGCGGGCCTTGAGTTTGATATGTTTGTCTTAAAAGATCAAGGTAGCTATATCCCTCTTTAAAAGAATGTTCCTTATATGAACCATTTTATGATTATGATTATTATATTTTTATCTTGCCTTTTTAAATATATAACTCAAATTGACAAACAAAGCTAATGCTCCTGCCTCCTATTTTTGCCACAACATCCCTATGAGGTCGGTTGGGCTGAGAGAGAGTGCCTGTCCCAAAGTCACCCCAGCTGGCTGTTGTACGTAAGGGAGGCCTAGAACTCGCAATCTCTTTGTTTCTAGGCCAAGTACTACTAGTAGTAGTACTACCATTATTCCAAATCGAGACTCTTTATAATACTAAGATGTATGTATGAAATAATGTATTCTTCACACCCCTATCCCACTGTAATACCAGAGCAATCTACATCCCACCTTTACTGTGAGCTCACCGTACCCCATCCCAATTTGTATCTATGTTGGGCCTAGACAAAACCTGGAGAAAACTGAAGCAGAGAATCTTTGATTTTGATATACAAAGAAACAGAACTAGTATTTCATATCTCTACTGCAATGAACATTTACCACTTCTAAATATTTTTATTGTCTACTTGTCTCACTACATAAGAGGACTTTCACACAGTCACATTTGGATTGTCTTTTAACAGCGATACTGTTGGAAAGGTTTAATGGCATTTTTTACCAAGGGCATTTTGTTTCTTTATTAAACGTGTGTGCATGCACGCGCACACATACGTATGTATGTATGTATAGCTGCCCATCTCACACAAAGTGACTATGAGTAGCATACAGCAATTGATAAATCTGTTCAGATTCTGAACTTGAGATAAAAGCACACATTCTGAAATGCTCTATTTCCAATCCTTGGAGGGTAGAGTTAATCTCTCATCATAACCTATCAGATCAATTTAATGTGGCAATAGTGGGATATCTTTTAAATTATCAGGATTGAGAAGTTTCCAGAATGGTTGCCAAATTTTAATCATATAGCAATGACAAGTAGAGGTTACTGGACCTAAGTATGCTTACTCTCAGGTCGAGTAAGTTTTTATTGGGTATTTATATTCTTTTCTCAGTTGTCTTTTTTTTTGTCTAGGATTGTATGCTTTTTTTAGTAGTTTTTTTAACATTCTGATTTGGATGAATTGTTTAGTCAAAGCTCATTATGAAATTAATTTTCTAAAACTCTGGGCAAAAGGAAAAAATAACGTTTAGGAGAGAGATACATGAAACTGAAAATGATTCTAATCAAACTGTAGTTCTGCAATATCTATTACCAGTACTACTGCTGTATTAGCAGATGGAGCAGGGATTTCTTTACTTGTCTAAATGACTCCTTCCTACTCTTCAACCTTTACTGTTGTAAGGAAAAAGTTTGTAAAACTTGCATGTTCTTTTTCTGGGGACTTTAAAAATAGGAATAGCACAAAAAATAATAATTTAGGGAAATGAGTGCAGTGGACTCTAAAATAATCAGGATTTATGACTATTATGAATATAGATTCCATTCTGAACCATTTTGAAAGCAAATAATTAATTAATTAATTAATAGATCCTCTATTAATGTTTCTTTGCCACCTGGTGTCTAATTATTTACTCCAATATGTAAACAAGTAAATATTGAGTGAATATATTTATGAAATAATTATGAATGCAAAATACTGTTAAGCTTGGAGAGAAAAGTTGCTAATTAAAAGGGTGATTAAATTAAAATACTCTGCATGTCCTCTTTGTTCAAACTCTACACAGATTTTGATCATTCCTGCTGTAATTAATGATGCAAAGTGTCATATGGTATCTGGCAGTTGAAAGTACCTTTTAACATGGAAGCCTGCTTTGCAATTCCACCTCTAATCATTGTATTTGTGTGTCTGGGAGAGGGAGGGAGGGGAAACAGCATTACAGTATTTCTTCAAGAATTTCTTGTGGATAAATTATTTCTTATTAAATGTATCTCGTGATATTCAGTATACTGTGTTCTGGTTTGTAATAGTGTTTGTTGTTTTCCTTCTCTTCATAAGAATGTAAAGCTTTTAGTTGAATGATATCCAATCAGAACACCTTATAATTCTTAAATGCTGGTGACCTTGGATTTCCTGATAGTTGTATGACTTTAAAAATCCATATACTTCTATTGATTAAACTAGCTTCATTCCATTCTTTGGCAATATCATGTAAGGTGATGATTTTAGTGCACTGGAAATGATGAGGAATAAGTTCTGTTTGACTTTCCTTGTTTGGGAAATCTTTAAGGTGTGTCTAGTCAAGTTCAAATTCTTCCTCTTAAGTTTTCAATCCAACTGGAAAAGTTTCAAGTAAAATCATACTATATTTGTAACAGTTATTTCTATGCTTTTGTTGCATTATAGAAGGAAAGGTACATTTATATCACTTCCATACGAATCTTTTGAGGCTCAATCAAAAAGAAATGAATAATATTCCAAGATCATAAATGATCAGATATTTTTTCCCATGTGTCAGATTCCCCCCCCCCTTCTGAATGCTTCCCTGTCAAGTACTTAAGTAGAAGACTACCTAGTTCAGTTGCACTGCTTGAGCTCTTGCTTTTGATGGGGCTTTTGTCATAGACCCAGCTAGAATGTGATCTCTGTTGCCTACCTTTCAGGTGCCCCTGCCCCACACCCTTCCCCTCCCTAGGAGGGAGACTCTACAACAGAGCTCCAGCCTAACTCCAGTTTCTCCCGCTACCGTCGACCTCACCCTCAAGGTATGTACCATGCCCCTCTAAGGGTAATTTTCTTGCATGCCGGGGAAAGATTTAACCAATCTTTTGGTGTAGATTAGGGAAAGGCACACTTTTTCTTTTGCTAAATAACTAAAAAAAGAGTATTCATTGCATTATTTTAATCCCTTTAGAAACTGCTATCTGCCATATATAATTGGATATAGATCAGGATATATAGTGAGATTTATCTGTGATTTCCCTTTTCACAGAGAACATATAGAAAAGAAGGTGCTTACAGCTAGTATTGCAGAGCTTTTTCTTCGAAATTATTTTTTCCTGATTTGTATTAACATTGTTAAACATAGCAATCTGATGAATATTGGTTTGCTAATCTAGGACACATCAAATTGAGAAATGGACTGATTAATATTTGCTGACTTCTTAACAGTTACTGTTTTGATAGTTAATAGTATTCTTTAGGTGATGATATGAGAGGTAGGAAAAAATTGAAATTGACAAGATATATTTTGGGTTGCATACCATTTCAACTTGCTATGAAGTAAGTAATAAGAATTATTTGGAGATTGACATCAATTCTGTTCAGAACAATAAGAATGCTAGAGCTCTCTCTCTCTCTTCCTCTTCTTCCTCTCCTCCTTTCCAATTAGAATCCAGTAAGGATTCTAATTCAGGGGTCCCCAACCCCTGGTCTGTGGACTGGCACCAGTCTGTGCCAGCAACCAGTCTACAGAAACAAGTGAAGCCCTATCCATGGGATGCAGACAGCATGTGAAACCGGTCTGCAGAAAAACCTCACTCCACGAAACCAGTTGTTGGTGCCCAAAAGGTTGGGGGCTGCTGTTCTAATTAATATGGCTTCAAATTTTAATTTCAGAGGAGCAAAATTGTATTAATAGGAACAGGTACAATGAGTTAAATATAGTATTAAAGAGGAGTCAGAAAAAAATCTTAGCAATCTTGATTAATATAGTTTTATATCAAAGAACCACTTTTTACAAATATTGTTTTCATCTTAAGCATATCTGGAGAATTCTAGTATTAAAACCAGAATTTCTGATTATTTATTAAAACACAGGAGCTTTTTAATATTAATAATTTGATAGATAAATTGATTGCTTTTAATGTGAAAAGTCTTAGTTTTAGCTCTTATATAAGTAATCTCTGACTCCTTCTATCTTACCTTTTTATCTATTCATCTGTCCATTCATCAATGCATACATAAGTCCAGATATATCTGTGCTTTTGCATAACTCATGTCGGTGAAATTTCTCTAAATTTAATAAAAAATATTCCTTCTGGAATTTTATTATTTCTTGGCCATATAATTTTCTGTTGGCATACACATGAATATAACTTACTTTATATATATGCATAGAGAAGTCAACCACAACCAGAATTAAAAAGTGAAACTTTGAGGCTCAATACTTCCTAAAAAAATTGTAAAACTTATGTGTCAGACACTGTACTGAGCATAAGATGTTTTTAGAATATACCGTATATATACAGTTTCACAAAAATATCTCTCTGCTTAATCCTCTCTACATTAAAAAAAATTAAGCATCTCTTTCTTACCTTTTCAAATATGATCTGTTCAAAGTGTTGTGACAAAAAATAGTGTGCCTTTTTTCTACTAAGCATATAGTGATTTAATGCAACAATTTTCAAATTGTATTCTGTGGAATGATTATCATCCACGACAAAAAAAAATTCAGTCAAATACAACCAATTTCCTTCCTGTAGGACAGGGGTGTCAAACCCACAATGTCACGTGACTTGTCGCAACGTATCGCAACTTTTTTTCCATTGCAATGGGGTGGGCGTGGTTTCAGCATGGCGCAGAGTTACAACGGCACTGAAAAAGTGACTTGTGACCATTTTTCACACTTAAACACTGGTGGCAGCTTTCCCACGGTCATGTGATCATCTTTTGCAAATCTCAAAGTTAATGGAGAAGCCAGATTCACTTAACAATTGTAGAACTAACTTAACAAATGCAGTGGTTCAGTTAACAACTGTGACAAGAAAGTCATAAAATGGGGTAAAATCACTTAGCAACTGCCTTGTTTAGCAACAGAAATTTTGCGCTCAATTGGGGCTGTAAGTTGAGGGCTACCTATATTCCAGAAAAAGTAATTTAATGAAGTATTCATGAAGTCAGTAAATGTCTACATAAAATAAACTATTTTGAAAAACTACAATTTTGCTTATATGTTATCTTACACAGTGCAGTTGGGAACAGTATCATCAGTATATTCTTGATACGAGGGCAATTCGGAAATAAACCTCCATTTGGTTATCAATGACAGACACTCGCAGATACAGAACTCTTATTATACACATTAGAAAACTACAACATTACATTACTTTTTGACATAATTGCCATTCAATCTGAGGCACTTGTCATAACATCTTACAAGGTTTGAAATTTCTTGGTAGTAGTCGCTCAGCTCCAAATCTGGGCTATTGAGGGGGTGATCAAAAACATCCCAACGGGGACTTCCGGTGGCAGGCGCCTTCGCTGGACGCAGCTGTTTGCTGCTCCCGCCTGTTTCTGCGTAAAAGCCGTTTTGACAGCCTGCATCAGCTGTCAAACGGCTTGATACCTTTCCCCTGGGCATAGGGGGAAAGGTGAGCTGCCCGAGGTAGGAGTTGAGTTCCCGAGTCGTCCCTTGTGGACGATGTAGGTGA